GTATAAATATACCACAACTTCTTTGTCCAATCATCTGTTGACAGACATTTAGGTTGCTTCCATGTCTAGTATTTTGAATAATGTGGCTCCCACTGCTATTAACATCCCATCCTGTTCTGGGGACAGGAGCTCATCCCTAAGAATTACCCATTCCCTTCCCATTCCTAGTTCCTATTTGTGACTCTATTTTTTTAAGCAACAGATGTCGGCCTTCCTCCTTTCCTTCCTTCTTTCCTGTCATTATTTCTGTCTTTTGTTTTCTGTTTTGTTCTGGTTCCTCTTTTGAGAATACCCTCTCCCTCTTCTCTTTGCCTTTGGAAAATCTATCTTCCAAGGACCGATCTAAATCCCATTCCTCTATAACAGATTCCCCGACAATGCCTGACCAAGAAAATCTTCAGAGTATTTATTGCTTGTCATACATGTAATTTATTATCATGAACAATGGTTTCTTACGTGAGCATGTAAGCGTTTCAAGCATGGGGCTATATCCCATACATCTTTTATTTCCTTTCAGGGTGCACACACTTGTTATTAGGTTTCAAAAAATCCCTATCACCAACATTTGTGAAAAACAGTTTGCAGAATGCTTTCCAAATGTTATGTCCTGAGATGATTACTTTCAGGTGAATATGAACTCAGCCCACGACAAGATCAGACACTTGTAGTGAGGTGGGGCTGTTTACATCACACTGTGGACATCTCAACTACATTTCCTGAATACGATGACATTTTTGCTTAGATTATATTAAAGAATTTAGTTTGGAGGGCATGTTCAAGACATCTAGACCATGACTCCCACAGGTACTGCTCATTTCAGAACCTATTCCCTTTCTTTTTCCTAGGAAGAGGCGTTCTGGTCCTTGATTTTTCCTCCAGGTAGGGCTGTAGCCAAACCACCAATTATGCTCACTTGTACACAAGGCTGTTACATCACGAGGACTGGCTTGTTAACCCAGACCATTGGGTCTAAATGCTTGGTTTTAATTTTAATAGAAGAAATTTTCAACAAAGGATGGATTTAGTGTAGGTTTCCTTCACCAAAAAGGTCAGTCCTTTTTCTTCTCCTTCCCTCATTGTCCAAAGAAAGAAGATGAGAAGCTCCTGAGATTTAGAGAAAAAGAATTAAAATTGTATTCAGAGTTTAGATTGTCCACATTCCTCATATAATAACTTTTAAAGAATAAACTATGAAAGAAGTCTATAAATACACAAAATCTTGAGATGCAGTGTTCTTAAGCCTCAAAGAAAACCTAAACCAAATTAAACCAAAGACCTTAAAGGAGGACTTCCAGAATGACAGCATGAAGAGCTCCTGGACTCTCTCCCCAGCAAAGCAGTTACAAAAGTTGGAAATTATTTTTAAAAACATTTAAAGTTTCTAAATTGTCCTGGGGCATACACCAAATGCAGAAACCTTTATTCAAGAAAATCTACTAAATCTCAGTAACAAGGAGACTCTGTGGCACTTGGATCATAACTTGTTCCCTACCTGATCCTTCCCAGTTAAGCATGATGGTAACCAGTCCAGGATTGAAAAGATGGGGTGTCTTTTTAATGACCTTATAGGGGAACACAACCTCTGCTTTCATGGGAATCTAGCTTGAAATAGATACACAACACTTGTGCTTAGGAGGCACCTAGTCTAAGGATGGAGAGAGAACCCTTGACCCTAGAGTGCACCTGGTCTCAGCTGGAACATTACACTTCTCAGGGGTACAGGATCCTTCTGTCTGAGAATTCCTATTTGGATAACATGGTGTGTCACTTAGGCCAACGGTCAACTCCATACTCATTAGTATGCTAGCTGACTTTATTGGAGGGGATCCACCAATAAATGTAGTGTTTGATTTTTCTCTTGTTACTAAAACCAAAGGGGAGA